GAAATATTTCGTATTATAAAATCGTAATACAAATTTAATTAAACTGCGCATTAAATGGTAATGTGAAGTGTGAAAGTTAACAGCTTTCTTGTTGTTGTTATTCATTTGGAGTATAATTGTTGTTGCAACTAATCTGGCAGTAACAAAGCATTACGCACCAAATATGACTGTTAATTTTTTTTTAAGCTGCGCTATAATTTTTATCATTTATATAATTGCAACGATGACGCACTTGAAAAAAAGAAAAACATACATAATAATTACAGTAATGAGATAAGAAGCATTAGTTATCGAAAAATCACCGAGAGTGTATTTCGCTTTTGAAGTCAAAAGGCAAGCACAGTCATCTCTTCTTCTTTTTCGTCATCTTCGTCCGATGACTTCATGATTTTTATTTTTGTAAATAAATGGGAACAGCAACAAAAACAAATCGTTGTCTACTAACGTGTTTAGAGAAATTGTTAAAAGAAACGCAAATTTTATAAAAAATAAAATTAAAAAAACAATGCACACGAATATCAATCAAAGCGAAACCATCAAAGTTTGCTAGCTCCCCTTTGGACCCCACTCCATCCATAGAATTGAGTTGAAATCGTAGAACGTAGCCAACAATAACGGGCGTCTATCAAATAATAAAGAAAAAAAAAACAAGAACTAAATCCATTGCCTTAACTGTTAACTGTTATTGAAGGGTGCCACGAGACATCTACATACCATCCACTCTCTTACTCCCTCCCACTGACCACCCAACCCATTACCAATACTCTCTCTCACTCTCTCCGTCTCGCTAACTGTCAGCAGCAGCACACACTCACACAGAGAGAGACTGACGTCCATCAGCTGTCTACATTTTGGTGGGTTCAATGGGCTCTCTGGCAACGCTCAAATGTTACGCTCTTTTCTCATTTTCTTTATTTTATTTTATGTTTTTTTTTTGCGCACACGTTGTTTGTTGTCCAAAGTCATTCAACCCAAAAACCAAATAACGTAAAATAAAACGCAAAAGGAGGCGAAGCGACGGCTGCGACGACAGCAACGGGAACGGGAAGTAGCAGCAGCAGCAAGCAATAGCAATAATAACAGCAGCAGCAGCAGCGGGGTCACTGTGCGCACTGCTCTCCCTCTCTCCCTCCCACTCGTCACCTATGAAGCTTAACAACAACAACAACAAGTATCACTGGGGTAATTTCATGTTGTTGAAAATATTGCGTAGCGTGGGTCTCCCAAAACGCAAAAAGCAGCTGTTGCTGTTGTTGTTTTTGGTTGGTCAGTGTGTCCACACCCCCACCAAAAAGAAAAAAGACAGCAATAACAACTCAAAAGAACTCAGGATGTGCTCATTGAGATTCATTTAGAACTCTGCTCAGCAAACGACAGATCAACTCTAAAAAAAGAGCTGGCAATGCTTCTTATACAAAAGCCAATGCTTGTGTGTGTGTGTGTGTATGTGTGCCTGAGTGTGCGACATAACAGTAAATAAATGTAATTAGTTCAATGCATGTGGGCAGCTAGCTAAACTCGCCCAACAGTCTGTGAAGCAAACAAATAACCATAAAACACTCAGTGTGTTTATATTCGCTCCTCATTTTCAATTTTTTTTATCAGTAAAAAAAAAACTAATTTACGACTGTGAACTGTGCACAGACCTTCCCTCCACCTCCGATTTTCGACTGCTCGCACATAATCAAAACGAAAAACTGGTCTGACTATCTGGCAACATTTGATAAGCTTAGAACAGAGTGCAGTTTATTTTGTGTTATCTTCTGGTCCCCAGTCGCGGGACCCACATAAAACCTAGATGATCATGAGACTCTGCTATTTATGAGTCAGGGTTTCTGGATTATTTTTTTTTTCTTTCTTTATTATGACAATGAGCACAATTTGGGTTTGAATTTCATCAGCAAAAAACTAAACAACGAAATATTTCACTAGATATCATAGTCTGTTATTTTTTTTTATACGTGAATTACAAGCAATAATTCACGCTTGTCAATCAAATGCAATTGAATTTCAATATATTTATATATACACACACACATCCACACACAGAAACACTTAATATTTAACTGTCTAGCGTCGTTTGAGCAAAATGTTCTTTGTTGTCTGCTCGCTGCTGGCGTCGTCTTTGTCGTCATCGTCGAAAAGGAAATAAAATGAAGCCCCAAAGCGCAAGCGAATAAAATCAAGGATACCACATAGAGACAGATAGAGAGAGAGAGTGGGAGAGAGGAAGAGAGGGAGTAAGAGAACGCGTCAACAGTTTCTTTGTCCGAGCTGCGACGCTGTTGGAACGAACAAGTCTGCAGAGAGAGCGAACAAAATCAGCAACAAGAACAAGGGAAAAACAAATCCAGCAAGGCAGGCAACGATGACAGAAAAGAGAGAAGAGAGAGACTCACTCACAGCTGATTAGGGAGGAGTATGTTGATGAGCATTGAAGGGAAGGGGATCTGCTGCTGCTGCTGCGACTGTCAACAAACACAAAATACAAAATTTAAATGAAACGCAGTCAGACGTAAATTGAAAGCATTTACTTTTGCCCATATATGTATAGAGAAGAGTAACCCGTATGGGAAATATGTAGATAAATATGAATTTGTGTATGTATATGCCAGTGTGTACACACACATACATATGTTAGAAGAACGTTCCTCCACATGTATGTACGTATTTCCAGAGTAGAAACAAGTTTCAAGCTCAATAACGCAATCTTCAAAGTTCGCTTGTGAAATTGAATTTCTAACTGCCATAAATTTTTGCATGTATGCATCATGATGTTAGGCAGCTCGCCGAAAGTTCAATATAATTAAAATTCCATTTTTGATCTGCCAATAACATCCTGCATACAAATGTATAAATAAATAAATATGTGCATTTGTTTTGTTGGCAATTCTCACAGCCAGGCGCAAGGCAAAGTGAAATATGCAATCAAAATGGCCGACTTACCGTTTAACAAACGAATAAAAAGAAGAGCAAAGAACTTGCAAGGTTGCTCGTTTCTCTCGTTCTTTTTTTTCTTTTGATTGTTGCTGTTGCTTTCGCCAAATCAATTTGTTGACTTAATTATAGACATTATTGCAGTTCATTTTTATGTTTGGTTTTCTTCTTCTTTTGTTTTTGATAACGCAATTTGTTACTAGCTGCTGGCTGCTGACTTGTCTTCCGATCCGTTGCTGCTCCTGTTTCCGATTGCTGCTGATGCTTGTGATTTGCCTAAACCTCCACTTTACACACACGCACACTGTCGCATTCGCATACGCACACGCACACAGATATAGCGATGCTCAGCTGTGCTTTGTTGCCGCTTGCCCCCTCAGCCGTGCATCTAACAGCCGACAATGGCAAATTTTCGCACATCGATTATTCGGCTTCGCTTCGACTTACTATTACATATGATGATTGCTTTCGGCTCAAATCGAATTACAGAATTATTACACGCACATCCCAAACACAGGTGCAACAGTCGATTTAATGCATAATTTTCGCACACTTGTTTAAAGCGGACAGCAGGCGAGGCCCAAGCAAATAGGCGTCGTTTTTTCACTGCATTCTTTTTCTCGCATTTTGCTTTCTGCTTTCCTTGAACTTATTACGTACCAAAATACACACACACACACATACATGTATGCAGGTATGTATGTATATATAACTGTAAACGCGAACAGCACTGCAAGTTTATTGGCAAACAAAGCGGAAAACCGAACAAAAATAATTAAAAGAAAACCGAAAAAGTAAAAAAAACACGCCAATTGTTATGTTTCCTTTGCACTTGTGTTGCTCTCTTCGTTTCGTTTTCGTTTCGCGTTCACTCACTGCTCACTGTATTGTTGTTGTCTTTATTTGGGAAAATTGATCGCTGCTGCAAGTGCGAATGCCACAACAAAGTGAACCACAATCAGCGCTGCGAGCCACGAAAACCAATTTCGCTGCTGCCACAACTACAACAACAACACTTTCACCGCCGTTTGGTGTGCCTATAGCTGCTGTGCTTTGCATAATTACCCGCACACACAATCTCAAGTATAACTGAAAATGTTGATTTGTTTAAATCTCCGCATAATTGTTTATTATTTCGATAAGCCTTCGTCTACCGCAAAACCAATACATGTACAAACTGATAATATTGAGCGACGGCCGATAGATTGTGGTGGTCGGACGATAACCGATATAAGCAACTAAACAGTGTTGCGCTTTCTGCTCAAAATTATCTATGGCTGATTGGGTAACACTGAACTGCCCGCTATGTTTAAACAAAAAACTTTCGATTTTTAAATATGAACAATACAATACTCAATACACTAATATTTAAACTCGCACATTTATTTATGTACAATGTTGGCTGAGCACAACGCATTTTATTAAGCAAATTCATATCTGTTTAATAAATTGAAGCTATTTTTGCCTTCTTGGTTTAAACTTATAAACACATACAATTACTTAGTAATTATCTATTGATAGTGTAATTAAAAGCAATAATTCGGTATTTAAAATGCTATAATTAGTTTGAAACACAAGAACTACACAAATACTATATTGCATTTTTTCCGCTGACAGAATTCATAAGATTTATTTCGATTTAGATTACTGACGAAAAATACAACTATTTTTGTCACATTTATTCAACGAGAAGTTTTGGGGAATATGAAACTCTTGAAATTTGTAACGAAATAATACCCCATTTGGATTGTTATTGTTCTGCTATGTGATTTTTTATGTTATGTTTGTTTCTTATTAAGCCATAGTTCCAGTATCTGCGCACAAAAAAAAAAAAACGTAAATAGGATAGGATTTTAGAATTTCGAATTGTGCGCAAAACTTACATCCATTTTTAATTTTTTTGGTTTTTTTTGGCGGCTTGGCGTGGAATACATTTACAAAATAGACAATTATACATGTATATAGTTATAGAATTAAATGTATATATATATATACATATATATATTGGTTTTGTTTTGTTTTCATAATGTATATATAGATTTATTTATTTACCATGTGTGTGATTTGTTTTTTTCATTTTATGTACTATATATATATGTATATATATTGTATGAGAGAGTTGTGTTTTAGAAACGCTGATCCATCTGGTTTTTGTTTTGTTTTGTTTTATTTGTGTGTAAAAGACTTGCTTGCACTTGAAGGGTTATTTTTATTTATCTCTTTTCGTATCTTATTTATTTATTTTTTTTTTTGGTTGTTATGTTTATCATTTTGTGTTTGTTTTTGTCGCTTTGTTCAGGGTGTAATATACAATTTGGATTTCGTTGAGATAGTGTGCAGCCACACATACATAGAGATGTATGCATGCATGTGTCGTTAGTATAACTATAAGTTAAATGTTCTAGGTATATATATATATATATATATATATAAGTGTATGCTTAATTATGGTTTTAGCTGGCACTAAACAAATAATGACAACAAAAGAAACCGAATATAGCAACTGTTATTGGGGATATAGCCTAAGTTTTTTCACTGTGACTGAGAGGTGTGTCCGAGTGTGTGTGTGTATTTGAGTGTGTGTAGGTGTGTGTGTGTGTGTTTTGGTGAACGCTTTGTGGTTCTATCGACATGTTTAGACTTCATTAAAATCTCAGTTATGTATATATATATATATGTATATAGATATACTATATGCAATTTGCTCTCTTATTTTAAAATCAGGAAAAAATAATCAGCATGCATGTTTCCAGCTTTCTCAGTGTGTTATGTTGTGTGTGTGTGTGTGTTTTTCTTTTTATGCGTGTACAAATATTATAGGGTATACATACATACATACAGACAGACATGAGTAGGTACATTTAAAAGCTAAACTGATCGATTGTTGACAGCAAAGAGAAAAGAGAGAGAGAGGGGGTGGCAGAAACAGAAAGAACAGAGAACAGATGTCTAATAATACACATGATAAAAGCCTGTCCTAGTTAAAATAACATCCTTAGCATATCAAATAAAATAATCACAATAATTACAATGTTGAAGGGGAGTTTTAGAAACTCGCACAAACTAAATACTAAAAGTTAGCTTGGGTTCATCATTCATATCACTTAAGAACTACGAATTTCGTTACAAGTTTGTTTCTTGTTGTTGCTCAAAATATATCGAGATATCAGAATCTTGCTTCAGTTATGTTTGGGTGTGTGTGTGTCTGAGAGTGTGTTGCATGTTGCGTGTGTTTCGTGTTCTGACAATTATTAATTATTAGACTTCATCCAGCAGACCGAGTAAATACAGCAACGAGATGAGCATTAGACTCAAGAGCATGGCAATCAATACGATTGCCGAGACAGGCCAGCATCAGTCCGTGGCCGATTTGCGCATTATCCTACGAAAGCCAATGGCCGTATCTCAGAGAATCTCACAGCAGCGACAATAACGTGGTCGGTGTCCGGTTGTCACCGCTGGCGGTGTCACAGGCGCAAAGTAAGCGTGCACCTTGATATTTGGTAGGTGATTCTATAAAAAACAATGCAACCGATAATTGTATAAGCTGGGAAAATAGAGCATAGAGATTCGAGATTAGAGAATACCTTCAGTTTGCGGATGGCGGCGCGTGAGATGAGCTGGCAGTCAAAGAGCTCGATGCGTTGCAGATTGTGGCAGGACACTAAATGCTCCAGCGTGCGATCCGTGATCAGCGGACAATTGTCCAGCTCCAGCACAGATAGGCTCTCCGCCGCACAGCTGCCCGTGGTCAGATGCCGGATGCCATCATCCGTTATCAGCTCGCAATGTGATAGCGTCTGTCAACAGACAAGTCAGTTAAGTTATTATCAATGGATGGATTGGTTGATTGATGAACTCACCAGTTTCTCGAGACTGGGACAACCGGTGGCGAGATGGGCCAACGTTAGATCCGTTATCTGGCTGCACTCCTCCAAATCCATGCGCTCCAGGTACTTACAGTTGCGTCCCAGCGCCTGAAAACCAATATCCGTAAAATTGCGACAACCGGACACTTCCAATGTATTCAGCTGCTGATTGTGCTGCGACAGCGCCATCAGCGAGAGATCAGTTAATTCCACACACTTGGACACGCACAGCTTCTGCAGCTTGGGGCAGCTGGCAGCCAGCTGCCTGATCGACGAGTCGCTGATCGTCTAAATGAAATACAAATATAGATATGGTTATGCGACTTATTTATAGAGGCAGATACACAACTTAGTGTGTTTTATTTTTGTTAATGATTTAGATGCTTTAGTCAAGAATTTAGACTTTCTGTTTGTTTTTTCTAGGCTGCCAAGAAATCTGATAAATCTTTTAAATATTTCTTCTTTTTCAGCTTTAAATTTGATAATCAATTTTATATTTCATTTCATTTCAACTATTTTTCACTTGTGTCGACTGACTTTAGTTGATACTAAATAAATAAATAAATAAAAATAATCTTTACTAGATATAATTTGTATATAAAAATAACGAATACAATGGAATTTTTGCAGCTGGATTGTGCTCGCTTTTTTATAGTCTATATATATCTATATAGTTGACTAAATCAGCTTCTTCAGGCACTATATAATATACACTAAAAACGTAGTTGAATCGTTTCGATTACCTCACAGCTGTGTAGATTTAGCACCATTAGATCGGGACAGTATTTGGCCAGGCACATGATGGCATTGTCGTTAATCTGTTTACAACCTTTACTGCTTAACTTGCGCAGTTTAATGCAACCGCGAGCCAACGCTTCGACACCGTTTTCGGATATCAGATGGCACCAGGAAGCATTGATCTCCAGCAGGTTCTAAAAAAAAACAGGATGAGAAATGAGAAACTATTTTTATTTGTTATTTGATTGCATTTACCGGACAGCCATCGGATATATATTTGAGGCTATTATCCGTTATGTTGGAGCACGAGTCCAAATTAATGGCCGTTAGTTTGCTGCAGTATCTGCTTATATCCGTGACTGATATATCTGTGATCTTTTTGCACTCCGACAGATCCAAGTGCTCGATGTTGTGGCAGTGATTTGCTAGAGTTCTGCAAATGCAATTTAATTGATTACATTTTTGAAGTTAAAACTGCTAAATAATTTAAATTTAAACACGTTTTGTTACACAATATATTTAGCTTACTTGATGGACTGATCTCCCACGGACTGGCAACCACGCAGCGATAAGGATTTGAGGAAGCCGCCGCATCGTTGCGATATATTCTCAATCACAGGACCCTGTAATAAAAGAGAGCGATTGCCAGGATAAGTAATCTGATGATGACAAAGGACAATTGTTCAACTGTTTGTTGTTTTAAAGCACCTCAATATCACGTTGAAAATCGAACAAATTGATTTTCTGCCAGCTGGAACCGTCGAGAGCGAGCACATTCCAATATTTGCACACCTGCAAAATGTGTAAATCATTTATTAGATAGGTGAACAACAACAAATAAATAAAACAAAGAAAGAATGAAAGGTAATCAAGAACTTGCAACACACCTGGGCACAACGGCATAGTGAGACGACATCCAAGTAGGAGAAGACTCGCAGCAGTACCTCCTTTGGCAGTTGTTTGATTAGCTCATCGTCCAGATCCGTGGCGCCTAGGAATGTTTGCTGTGAAATGCAGAGAGCAACATGTGGCATCAATTTAAATACAACAACAACAAAATACAATATCGAGTGTGATTGTTTAATTGAAAATCTTGATGTGTTTGCCATACGAAAACAAAACAATTGACTCCCAATCTAATTGAGCCCCAAAAAAAATTCTTTAAAATAAAAACCAACAAAAAAACAACAACAAAATTACAAATTAATTGATGAACAATGCGCGGCGGAAGAGCGAGCGAGTAAGAAAGAGAGATAGTGGCACATAGAGTAATAAGAAAAACAAGCGAACAAAAAAAATCGAGGCGAATTTTGCCTCAGCTCAGCTGTTTTGACCTTTCCAGTTGGAAACGATCGGTGCGCTTATTACTCTATGGCATTTAAAGGCGTGGCGATGTTGAAAGGCAATGGTACAAAATGGTAGCCTTGATGGAAGGCGAGAGAGCGAAAGAGAAGGGGGAGAGAGAGAGAAAGAGTGATGACATATCGAGTAGGTGGAGTGGAAGTGGAGTGGAAAACAAATAATCAAAGCGAGATTCGATTTTTTTTTGTTCTTTTTCTTTTGTTTTCAATTCTTTAGTTTTGTTTTGTTTTTCTTACAGACTCCTCGTTGTCCTGCATTGCGTGCAAGTTGGTGTTGGTGGCCACTGTTCGCTGACTGAGCTGCTGCTCCACAATGCACACCTCATCGACGACGCCGGGCGAAATTGAGGACGCACTAGATGAATAACTGCTGGCGCCGACGCAGCTACTGCTGTTGCTGTTGTTGCTGCTGCTGCTGGCGTTGCTGTTACTGTTGCTGTTACTGTTACTGTTATTGGCGATAGCCATAACGCTGGCGATGGGCGCTGCACTGCCAAATGTTGCAGTGCGCCAAATAGTGGTGCAGATGCCGCTGATTAGATTTGCACCGCTGCCGTAATTATTATGATTGTTGTTGTTGTTTGCATTTGCATTAGTAGAATTATTATTATTATTGTTGTGGCTGTTGCTGCTGCTGTTGTTGTTGCTCAGTTGTAAGCTCAGATTACGATTGGCATTCGCATTGTTGTTGCTTTCGCTGCAGTCGGCAGTCGATGCTGACGCTGACGCTGATGCCGGCGTTGACGCACTAACGCTGACGCTAATAAAACTGGCGCTGTTCGTGGCCGTTGTGCTTGTACTGTTGTTGCCGCTGCCGCTGCTAAAACTGCCACTGCCACTAATACTGCTGCTGCCGCTGGGTGGACAAAGCAGTTCAATGCTGCCAGCAGCGACGCCCCCTCCTCCTCCTCCGCCACCTCCACCGCTGTCACTGCTACCAGCTCTGCCGCTGCCCGCATTGGGCGCAGCGCTAATTCCACTGCGCGCAAACATCAATTGTCACTGTATTAGTGTTGCTGTTGTCCGTTAGTCGTGCCTACGACTTTTTTTCTACTGCTGCTGCTGCTGCTGTTGCTGTTGCTGCTTTAACTCTTTAACTAGCTGTCTCTCGCTTTCGCTCACACGCTCGCTTCGATTCGGTTTATTTGCCGACGTCGAGGTTGACGTCTTCGTGTGAATGCACGATTAAATTATTCACAAATTGCGTCTTTTGGCAAGTCGCGTAGCTGTTGCCTCTCACTCTCTTTCTCTTTCTCTTACTTGTTTATTTCCGCTGATGCTTAATAACATAAACAAACCATAAGATTTATGGATAACAGAAGAGACTGCTGAGTGCAGACTGTGTTGCTCTCTTTTCCTTTATTTTCTGTTGCTGTCACGAGAGCTTTATTTGTTTTGTTTCTTTCTTTTTCTTTTAGATATCGCTGTCGCTGCACTTTTGCTCTAATCGTTGCTTCTCTTTGTGTATTTACTTTGAACTGCAGTTAACAGTTGGCATTGTACACTACAACAACAACAACATCGATTTCTCTTAGTGTTTTTTAATTTAGATTTTGATAATGCTTTATAGCAACTGCTGCTCACGTTGTGGGAAATAGAACAACAGAAATTACATATTAAAAGACATTAAAATGCTGCCCAAGGTTGACGACAACAAGAACAACAACAACCACACAGCAATTGAATTTATTTATTATGTATGCACACATTAAATTTGTATGTTTTCATAATTTTGTTTATATGGATAAATGATCTACTCGTTTGTGTTTAAATAATTGAAATGTGCGCGCCCAACTCGCACGCTTTGAGTTGCGCGTCAGACTGAATAAGGCCCAAAAACTTACGACCAGTCAATGACCATGTGCCATGCTTTTGCACGATCCCCTCCCCTCCTCCTCCTATATGTATTTAAATGTGTGGCATTCAGCTTAAATGAAAAATCATCAAAGTCAATTTAAAATGGCAATCGAACGAACGTGTCGCGAATGCCAGCTAAAAGGCGACCACAAAGAATACAATGACACAAGCCATCACCAAGCATCGGCTTGGAACTCGATGACGGAGCGCCGATCATAACTGGAACTAAGCAGACTGTATATATATATATATATATATATGTATATATAAATATATATTAAAGCGTGGTAGCTCCAGAAATTTGAATAATTCCAGTGCCAAAAAGCAAGAATGTAAACAGATGTTAAGTGTAACGCAACACTATTATCATACTGCTCTCTTCTCACACATGCTGAGAACAGTTTAGTTATTGGTTGATCAACAATCTGGCAAGGTTTATTTCATAATTATCGGATATCGATTTGTATCGATAAAAAAAAGTAATCCTAATCTGCATATGGTAAACGAGAACTTCTATTTAGTCAGACGGACATGGCTGTTGATCCTGATTACAAATATATTATTATTATTATTATATTTATGGCTTGCGTACATTTTAAATTTCAAGTCTATAGCTCTTATTGTCTGTGATCGTCTGTTGATCCTTATTAAGAATATATATATACTTCATTAAGTGGGAAGGGATGGTTGCTTCCGCGTGCCACCTTCCTTTGCGCCTGCCACAACCCTTCAAACTCATTTTCGATGGGTTCTTTGTATAAAAAAATGTCAAAACGAACATTCAAAGAAAAATTCATTTTATATTTGCTTAAGCAATTCAATTTTAGGAACTGCTGTATTTAATTTAAAGAGAATATCAATATGTCCATATATATAGCACATATATAGATTTATGTATATGTACAGTCTTGCATATGCATATATATTAATATCAATAAAGATGATTGTCACATTGAAGATCTACAAAATGCTGATTGGAGGAGCATGCGATGAGCGACAACGCTTTTAAATTAAATTGACATTTACATAGTGGAAATGACACATGCTGAATATATATCTATGTATATATATAGATGTATTTTAGATTGCCCGGGGTTGAATAGTTGAATTATAGGCACACATATCATTTCTTATATGGTATAAGTATGGCCTTTATTTGGCCTAATTGAGCGCAACTCCATGAATTATTTATGTATCAAGTAACAGAGCAACTCTTATAAATATTCATTTCTTTGCAGTTTGGATGAAAACTAAAAGCACAATGGAAAATCCCAAATTCAATCAGTGCTCAGACTTATCAACAACAACAAAGCAAAAGCAAACTGAGGAGGTGAAAATACGAATATATATAAATATGCATATAAAGATATATGTACACTTGGAGTGTAAAATAGGTGTGAAGAATCTTTTGAATTTCATGTCCAATATACAAAATATTAATTTATAAATATGGCGACATTGTTTCTTAATGAAAATCAAAGCTTGCAAAAGTTAAAATTTGAATATGTTCATTATAATAAATGCTTAAGTCAGAAGATCAAGGAAAAAAAATGAGAATTGCTTAACTAAACAAATTCTTTACAAATGCACATCATTATTTGAAATGATGAAAATCAGATAAATTTGTTTGGCAACGATGCTAAAAGCAACGTTAGTCAGCAAAATGTAAAGAATTCCATAATAAATTAACTACAAAAAATCAGTCATGCATGGTGTTTGCCACCAGGTTATTGTCTTCCCACATATTTTACTATCCAGATGTGTATATATATATATACTGCACATGTATATAGTTGTGGCACACACAACACACACACCCAAGACTCGTTGGCATAATTCTGTTTCATTGAAAATAAAGTGAATCGCAACAATTTGTGTTGCTTTATTAGGTGCACACTTTTCGTCTTGACTTGGGCACACAACGAGATGCGATGGTCACACTCATTTCCACTGATTTTTATTAAATCACAAGCATGATACACACACACACACACACAAATATATATATATGTGTGTGCATTGAAATGGATATTTAGTCTGAGAGCGTGTTTTTGGAGAGGTTGATAACTTTGATAAGCCCTAAGTTGACTCAGACACAGCTGATTAATATATCGATCAAAGAACGGTCATTTGTTGAACTGTCTTGAACTGTGCATTGTGTGTGGCGTGCAACTTGTGGCATGTGATGTTTGCTACGTGAGTGAATCTGTGTACACATTAACATCAGAGTCGGGTCGTTGTCCCCCGATTTGCTGGGTAAGGCCAAAGTACCGTTAGGAACCCTGCAATTGATTGTTAACAACAGCTCACCATATTAACCAAGGTGCAAAGGAGTCTTTTTCACTTATGAGGCTAATGACTCGAACTCAACGACCCTGAGAATGCGTAACAGAGATTTTGTTCTTTTCTTTTCAAATGGCAAAGCCGACAACTTGACCTTTGAAGAAGTTCATCGAAGGTAGTCTAACCTTTAAATTGGATGAAACTGTCTCGAAAACTAAGCTAATTGTAATTTTAATTTTAAGTTATTTTTACCTTTTTTGCTAGCCAACAAAAAATGGTATATAAAACTATGTTTTAATTATATTTACAAATTTTTATAATTTTATATATTCCATATATTCATATACATTTTAAGTTTGATATTCATTTATTCCAAGCTTCCATTCTTGACTTTTAACTCAAACCAACACAAAACTCATATACACTTTTACCTTTGGCAGCAGAGTATAAAAAAAAAAACAACAGCTGAGCAACACTGTGTGAAAAACAAACTGTAATCGTTAGAAGGTGTGCAAAATAAAAATGACAGTAAAATAGATAAGGAGAAATGTGTTAAGAGAGAGAGAGAGAGAGAAAGAGAGAGGTCGGAGTGTGTACACATAAAATGTCTTAAAAAGTAAACAAAAAAATGTACAAATAGATTTTGAATATATAACAAATCGAACGTTGTGGTTTTTATTGTTATTGCACTGATAGGCCTTAACAATATGGTATCTATGTAGTATATATGTACATATGCATTTATGTCCATGCTGCAAAACGTATATACATATATATATTTATGTGCATGAGACTGCCTGTAAATGGTTCCACGAAGGCCACAAGGTCAAACCAAAACTGGGTCAGCTGTGTGCATATCTGGGCTACATATGTACCTACACACACACACATACATACATATATATATATTTATGTGAGTGTGTGCACGTACCAATCAAAATTATGCGAGCACGCAAAAAAAAAAATAATCAAAAACAAGGCGCAATAAAACCAATGCAAAAGAATAAAAAGCGTTATCACAAAAACACTCACAGACACTCTCACACACACACACACACAGAAAAGCAAATTTGTCAATTGCAGAAGTCTTGGGACAAGGCAGACAGAAAAGCACAAAACAGCTGACGACACAAAACGGAGCACAAAAAAGGGAAAAAAACAACTATTTTCAAGCAAAGCAAGAAGACAAAAACTAGCCATGGTAATATAACGTAATGTGCACACACACACACATACACACAAATGCACACTGAGAATAAAGTATTTAGCAATATTACACACACACACACAAATAAATAAACTGCAGCGCGTACCATTTGTTTATGTTTAAAAGACTGATGAATTTCCCGTATGTTTTTCTTGTTACTGCTGCTGCTACTGCGATTTTTTTACATAGTGCACCTAGCCCACGCGCACTCTTCAGCAATAGATTTTTACACAACTAATTTGTTTGTTTTTTTTTATTTTATGAATATTTTTCTTTGCTGTGTTGTGTTGGATGCGCTGGAAAAAACCTAAAAATCACACACAACCAGAGTAAATGCAGACACGCGAGACAATGACAGCAGCAACGACTGCGACGACGATGACAGCGACTGCGACAGCAGCGTTTACATCAATAACAACAGAGCGCAGAATGGTAACTGAGCGAGCAAGCAGCAAGCACAGCTGAACAGCTGAAGCTCAATGGCGCTGCGCTCGGGTCTCACAAATGCAAGTGGGGTCACACTGACACACACACACATATACATTTATATTTATATGTGCATGCACACACACACGAACAGATAGTGCTCACGTTGCGTGCGCGGGGGCGTTGCTTGGGGGCGGTGCAATGCACCCACAAAAATAACAAAACACAAAAAGTCTCAATGAGTACGTATGCATGTGTGTGTGTGCGAGTCAAAAAGAGTGAGAGAGAGAGAGAGAGCGCAAACGGTCGACAAACAAAAACAAATGTCGGCAACTAAAAATTCCATTGCTGCTGCTTAAACTGCCGCCATCGACGCCACTCCCCGCCCCCCCACAAACAGACCATCATTTGCTCTACATCTAAAAATGCATTCACTTTTAACTGGCTGTGCACAGTGCTGCCAGACAGTTGCACTTTACATGTCAGCTGTTTTCTTTGGTTGTAATTGCCGTTCCAGGCACAAGCTAACTGTAAACGTAAAAACATTTGAATCACCACATTTGTGTCGTAATCTATTTTAAACAGTTGAGAATTGAAAACCAGAACGCAAATCAACAGAATCACTTCGCCAGCCCCTCAGCAATTAGCATGAGTCTGGCAACCATAGTGAGGAGAACGGGCAGCGGGTTGTGGGCTGCTGCACTCTGGCTCCAATTTGGCGGCTGGCGCTGACTCAAAAAAAGACTCTTAACTCTTACTCTTGCTTTTGCTCTTATGTACATTTGTCTGTATGTATGTATGCATGTGTGTGTTTGAAACTTATTTACATTAAAGACTTCAAACGCAAGAAGCTACCGACACTGGTGTGGGCCCCATTGCGCATTAAGTGGGCGGCAAAGGCAGAAGCAGCAACAGCAGCAGCAACGTCAACGAGTTTATTGCACTTTCGCCAAAGTCGCTGCTAACTTTTGTGTAAAAAGACAAACAGTGCGACACAAGTTCGGGGGTTGGTGGCAGCCACTTACACTTTTAGCAGCGGTTTGGGACTTTTGAGTAGCAAGCGGGCAGCGCCACACAAAGGCGACAAAGAACCAACTCCACCATAAAAATAAGCATAAAGAAATCAGAAAGGGAAATATGTACTTATGTGGGCATGTATGTGTATGAGCGAGTGAGTGCACAGTGGGAGATGAGCACATGATTCACACGTGAGCAAAACACACGCAACACACGACATTTTGCATTAGATTTTACATAAATGCTGATTTACAAGAAACATTTCATATTTATCATTTATAAATCATTTATTTATGTTTGGAGTTCCCATAAAATAAATATATTATGTTCAAGCATGAAAATATTCCAAAATTACAGTTACGATTATTTTAATGAACTTATATAGTTTTACTTTTATTATTATTCTTATGAATTTGAAATCAGTATCAATATCATTTACTTCTTATCTTGTTTTCTCACCCCTTCCTGCTTGAATTTATACGTTACGTTGAGTCGTGCGTGCGTGCGTGAGCGTGTGAGTTCTTGTCTCAGTCTCACAACAAAAGAACAAATACTCAACTGCATCTGTCTAGCGAGGGAGGCGGGGAGTCAAAATAATGAGTGGAAAGGGTAATCTTCTCTCTGTCTGCAGTTTACTACTAGTGCGTATGTGCGTGTTCTTGTGTCTGTGTGTATGGGTGGTGCGAGCAAACAGAAGATCAACAAATTGAATACGAATACACACACCAAGCAAATACACTTGTTTGTGCAATCAAATGGCCAATGACAGTCGAGGAAACTGTTTATTGTTGATTTTTGGCATTTATTGCCGTTTATTATTGTCGGCACTGTGCTTAAATTGCATTCTCAGCCAGTTCAGACGAGTAATAAAGTAAAAAAGAAGGAAACATTCTCCAAAGACTGGTTTCAGTCTCACACTGCCGCAAACGAGATTCTGTTTTGTTTTTCGGTTTTTGTTTTGTTTTGTTTTTTTTTTCGTATGAATGGAACTTAAGGAAGTAACTGCATTATAAGGTACGTATATAAACATGCATATGTATGTAATAATTTAATTCATACATATGTACATAATTGAAGCTACTTACATCGATTCGATGATGACGATGGTTCGAATTGGTCATTTTATGCGCCGCGAATTGCTGTCGTTGCCCTCTCTCTCTCTCTTGTGTTCGCTCTTCCTCACTCTCTGCCTCTCGCTTGCGCCGTGTGTGTGTGTTTGTGGAGATATTTTTCTTTGTTGGCCGGCCGTTACGGCGTTCCCTTCCCACGCGCGCAACAGCAAATGCTCTTCAGTCTCTGCTGTCTGTGCGTCTCTGTGTGTGTGGGAATGCGTGTATGTGTGTGTGTGGGTAAGCAGGAAATTATGCGTCGCACTGCGGCTGCTGCTGGTTGTGTTCTTGTTGTTGTTGTTGTTGTTGTACCAATTGGTAGTTGATGCACTGAAGTTCTTTGTTCTTTTACGCTGCTACTGCTGCTGTTGCGTCGTTATAATTATACATTATAACAATATGCAACTGTGTTTGAGCCAAATGGTTCTTAATGCGTAAATCCGTTTTTCCCTGTCGAGCATTTTCTCTCTTTTTTTTATTGTATTTTCGACTGTTATTTGCAGTTATTTTTATGACAAACACTATTACGTTTAAGCTCAAAGCTTACACAAACAAACAAACAAACACAAAATGATTAGATATACAATTTTTCCTATCTGTTTTCAAGCGACAATTTTCCTTTGCAAATGCAGCGTTCAATTGTAATAGTATTAAATAACGCTTGGCCACTCTTCGCACTTCTCGCTCTAACTTTGCTCTGTTTATGTTTATTTTTCTTGTGAAAATTTCGACTAGATAGCTCATAAAGTAACGATGAATCCGATTAATCGTTGCAAATCAGCTGTGTTTAGCTTGCACTCATCTCTATTGGCGATATGCACTATGCGATAAGAGCAGGTCAGCTGTGAAAGTCAATAGCCCATGTTAATCAACAGCAAATGTTGGAGTACTTGAATATTCATGAATTATTTAAACATATATATGCTCGAATTCCCTTGGTCAATCGTTTAATCTAACAGCTGTATCTAACATAATTCTGTTATATTCAATGTATCGATTAAGTGTGAGTTGGTGCGCGGTTAGGTTCAAATTTTTGAATAACATAAAGTATTTTATATATAAATTCTTAATTTTTTTTAATAAATAATAATTATAAATTTGCAAGAAAAGATTCATCTTGTTTGTTTATGAATTAGTTGGCCAAAACGACAGGGTATATCGATATACACAAAGATGCAATGGATTCCACAATTCATCGTCGCCACAGTGTGACCGTTTGCTTATCCAAAACTAGTACATTTCTGTGAGCAAGTGTCAATTGCAATCGCCTGTTGTCATTTGTCATCTTTACTTGCGAAGTGGATTATTTCATTAAATAAATTTTTAAAATGTGGCCGGTAGTTATGGCCCTTTTGCGGCGCAATGCTGTTTATATAACACTGCCGATTGCAGCCGTTGTGGGCTTTATTGGCTATAATCTGGAGGATCTCTTGTCGGACAAATACACGCCATACAGTCGTGAGTAGAACTTTAATTATATTTATAGAAAAGTGCTTTTAATTTGTCCTTTTTTTTGTTTGTGGCAGCTTCGATCCAGGAGATCCGTGTTAAGCGTTTAGCTGACGAGAGCTCAGTGGAGAATGCTGCTAAAGTGGAGAAACTGCGGTTAAATAGTTCGGTTTTAGAGCGCAATTTGTCACCGTCTCTGCAGCCAAAAACATAATCGGCGCCCTTTGGCACCTTGTTATTTCAGTTGTAATTAAATGTGGGATAGAAATTAGACTAAAAATAAAAGAAAAAATAAAAAAATTGCATCGAACTTCAATTTTATTGAAGTTCAAACTTGACATCCCTTGCGGGGATCGAACCCGCGACCTTTGGATTAGAAGTCCAACGCGCTATCCTCTGCGCCAAAGGGACAGGTGGTGGACGCTTTGCCAATAACTTATACAAGTCAAGTGGAGTTTTTACCGTAAAATTCTCGAACAAAAGCTCATATTGCGCCTGCAGGTGGCCTATGAAATAATTGCAAGAGCATTTCTAAACACATATTGCAAAGCTTTAAGCAGTCGGACTTGACGGGTATCTAGAATAATTCTGGATACAAGTAGATTTTTAAGCAGGTATGAGAACAAGGCCTCGGTGGCGCAGTTGGCAGCGCGTAAGTCTCATAATCTTAAGGTCGTGAGTTCGAGCCTCACCCGGGGCATGTAATTTTTTTTCGTTTTTCCAATAAAAATTTTAATATTTATATTGGATATTAAATGTACAATTGTACGATGAGTTTAACAAACTCACTCAATTACACAGTTTAATTTATATTAAATATTTGTTATTTTCATTTATTTTCCGCTTAAGCTAAAACAAAGGCTATTTTATTGAGGCTGCGGTCCTTTTACTGTGAGAATTGCCGTAGTTTATTTTCCCATGCGCTGAATGGACCACTCCTGCTGGCAGAGGGGACAGCGATTGTTCTGCTTCACCCACAAGGACATGCAGCAGTGATGAAAGGAGTGATTGCACTCGCCCCAAACAACAACGCAATCCTGGCGACCCAACACATCCCGCTTGTTCTCCGCCTGGCAACGCAAACACGAATCTGCAACACAAAAAACATGCACGACAAATAATTAGAGAATTACGTCACTGATCTCGAGTACACAGTGCACTTGAGGCGACTACGAGAAATGTCAGCGATTCGCCAAATGCGACAACAACAGCGACATTATCGGCTGCCAATTAGAGGCAACTCTCGAACAACCCAACACAGATGACGCAAATACTCTCCGTCCGTCCGCCTGTCTCTCCCAGCAAAACAAAACAAGTGCAAATATATATATAAGATTTTCTTCCGTCTTTTCACTGACGATCAATTTAGAGTCAAGGGGTATATCGTTTCGTAGTTAAAATTAAATTAACATAAAATGTATTCTTGCCAGTTTTTATAGACTCTGAGATCATACATAAAATGCCGAGGAATTTCAATATTATATTTGTAATCTGCAACAAAAATGTAGCTAATAATTTATAAATAGTTAAAGCTGATTTCTTTAAAAATACACTGCCAGAAAAATCGTAATTTTAGAATTTAAGTTTATTTTAGATATTAAGTTTATTTCCCGGATTGGAAACGAGTTTATGTTTATGTTAAAATGTCGAATAAAGTTTCGATTTCCGCTTCGATTCGATTTCATTTTCAGATTTCGCAATGCAATTCGATGACTGCTTTTTGTCGTTAAATCGGCACATTTTATGATTTCATTCAACAATTTGTTGTTTTTTGGGTAATTTCACATACATTCATTCAATATTCAATGAAAAGTATGTAATCCAATAAAGCGAAAGCAGATCGGGGAGCCTTTTCGTGGGAGAGGGGTCACTGACATGCCCCAAAAATAAAACAAAAAAAATTTTTTGCTTCATTTTTCACTCAACAAAAAACTTTTCTCAGAATTACTGTAAAACTTTTGTCACTGACAATGCAAAAGTGCATGATATATATCTATATATATATATCATATATATATCTATATATATGAATGTATATATAGATTGGTGTAGGCATCACCTGAGCCACTTTGTGATGCAGGTGTTGGTGTTGACATTTCAAAATCTGAATGCGTTAGCAAAAATTTATAAGTACGTACTGCCTATATTGAAAACAAAAACAAATAGTGTAATTTTATAATCTGATGTCGACTGTGATATACCCTGTACGCTAAGCAAGCCTTTATGTTTCTTTAACTCTTCAAACTACAAAAAAACAGAAACATTTATAATGGCATACTTTCCAGCGTCGCAGATTGGAATGTGCACAATGCTAATAAGAATCTACATCCAAATCAATTCCAATTTGAAACTGTTTTGAGAAATTGACGTTTTATATTAGAACTCTAAATGAGTTCAAACCAGGGTGTCAAACAGAAACTCATGCGGTTTGACACCCTGGCTCAAACAATAACTTATAAAGCAGAGAGAGAGAGAGAAAGAGAGACGAGGGAAGAGAAGAGAAAAGAAGAGAAGAGATCATGACGGCTTTATTTTGTTTTAATTTTTAATATGGTTTTTAGAAAACACAAAACCAAAAAAATTAATTGCTTCTATGACGAAGACAACCTAGGAACATTATGTGTTTTTTCTAAAGCTTTTCGATAAATTAAAATAAATCTTTAAGCAAAGAAATGCTTTTAAGCCCAGTTGTGTTTCTGCAAATTATTATAAGCTAAATACATATATAAATGTGTGTGCACAGATTTCATAAGAATTGTCAGGATGGTCAACAAATTGAAATGTTTTTTAGAAAACTTCTTTCAAGTGAAGTCTCAGTTGTGTTCAGTTCAATGTGATTTGTAAATTGCATTCATTTCTTCTGCTGATTTGGCATGCCCACTTCTTCGCTTTGTATAGGGTATTTTCGCACAACGTAAACAAGAAACTGGTTTTTGGGGGTCGTGTGTGTGTGTGTGTGGGGGGGATTCAACAAGTATACGCCACATTGGCTGGGCCGCTTTGGTTGCTGACTGAGCCAAAAAAACAAGTGATAAAACATATCCCGAATGGGCTGCAGGTGGCAAGGGCAAAATTAGTACATTGAATGAGTCAAAGAATTACATATGTATGTATTTATGTAAATATGTTGTGATTCTTACTCATATTTGGTGTGAAAAAGTGCATGTTTTATTTTGGTTTTTCTTTCTTTCTTGTTTTTGTGCATTTGTGGATTGTAATTGAAAACCAAGAACAGGAAATTGTTAACATATTTTTTCCATGAATTTCCACGAATTTTATATTTTTTACTATAGAGTCAATAGCCGATCGAGCTGATCAAACAATAACAACTTTAATTTTAAATGCGTATTAACTTTAGCCATTTAATTGGGTTTTCTTTTTGGATTTTCGATTCGATTCGGTTATTGGCCTTTCAAATAGGCCATGTAATATGAGACGATCAAAAGAATCGTACATTATTTTTTATTTTTATGTTGTGTGTGTGGGTTTTATTTTTGGGTATATGATTATGATTAATCATAAAAAAAATTCAGTTCTTGCTGCTGGGGTTTACCAAAACTCATATATCAAATATACCCAAAGATTTTTGCCTTTTATTGGCAGTTATTGAAGCATCCAATAATTAACATACTCATTGTTCATTTGATCGATTTACATATAATAACAACGATTAAATAGTAGAGCCTCGCTGCTTAAGTATATTTATGGAACAATTTAGAAGTATTCTGAGGAATTTAGTATTTCCAGTTGTTAGTTGAAATGCGATTGATTCAAGTGCCTTGGATTAATCGTAACTTGTAACTCGTAACACCTATTAAAATTCACAAATGTCAGGTGCAAGGAACTACCTTCAAATCATGGGGTTACCAAGTACGGATATTGTCGCCTAAAGGTCTGTGGATCTCTCTCTCTCTCAGGGTCAATATATTGAAGCTGCCCTTAACGGATATGACAACCGAATTGCAGTTTGTCCAACGCATCGACAGCCTTACAACGAGGTGCTTGTCGATCACAATCATTCATATAATATACCATATCATAGCTACTACAGAAGAGGATTTAACTAGACCAACCTCGTTTAGATTTCCTACACAGGCATTTACATAAAGTAGAAAGTTAAAGTTCCGTTTTGCTTTCAAAATATATAGTATTGCTGAAATGTGTAAAAACATATAAATAGTTGAATTGAAATAAACATTTCTACGTGTGAGATATTTGATGTACTAATATGTAAAAACAAAACACATTTTCTTTATCTGATCTCGAAGTAACAATTAATAAATTTTGCTGTGGATGCAACCAAGCTGAATATACCCTTATCGTCCGTCTGGTGTCTGTCGTATGGAATTTACCTGCTTTAGCAATAAAATTGGTCTAGAATATGGAATGGTTTGTAGCTGGAATTTGTATAAATACGAAAATCATATCACACCCAATGAATATTTCATCATTTGCCTTTTTATTTGTTTGGAGCTGGAATTCATCCATAATAATAATTGTCTGGGCAAGTTGAAGCCAATCAATTCAATAAACAATTACAAATACACATATGTTATATATATATATCTATCTATCTATCTATGCATGCATGTACACAAAAACTATATATATATCGGCAATCTAACGTTCTTGTTAAATCAGGGGCCGGTGCACAGTAGCACAAAAGTGCTAAGAAATTGTAAAAAAAAAAGTTAAAAATGTATTTGAAACGTAAATATTTTATTGATGAAATCTATATTGGCTTATTATGTAACTTATATTAGTAATTTGATCATATATTGATGCATATCATTAGCACGCTCTATTGATCTCTACTATAAATAAATAACACTGGAAAACTTCTACTGTAAACAATTCAAGTGCGTCATTTAATAAAGTACACAGTTTTTATACTCTGCTAGCGACAGAGTGTATTCCCTTAGAGATATTTAATACAAGTACTATTATATAACTGACTCAGACAAGAAGATATTTGATATATATATACTTGAATTTAGCTCGAGGCAAGAAGCTGCGTCGATTTGTGCTCGGTTTTCAACAGAGTATTTCGCAGTCGGCTATATTCGATTTATCAATTGATTGAGTGCAGTCAGATTTGATCAGTTGTGGGCCCAGCTAAAAAGGGGTGTGTCCGCATATTGCATCTTTCTCGAATAACTAGATTGGGAACGCGTATGCAGGGCGACAGAGTCGACAGCGATTAAAGCGGGTTAATTAAAAATGTGCATTGTCAGGCATTAATAAATAGACGGCGACAGACTGGCAAATGAAACGTGACAAATGACGTGACATAAGCCAGACTCAGACTCAGTACCCACTAACCAGAACGTAGAACTCGGAACACAGAACTCAAAACTCAGGTGATTGGCGAACAATGCAAACAAAAAAAATAAAATAAATAAATAAATTGTTGCATTTAATTCTTTTGTAGCTATCAGCTATCAGCTGTTTGCTATGACACGTGATGGCGTCATAGCAAGCAGTCTTCAACAGGCTCTCATTTGAAATTTGGGCAAGTGTAATAAAAAAATCAATTAGATCTTATCACACTTTTTATATACCCAATAACATTTCAAGTGTGTAGATAAGATGTATAGTTGTACGACTTGATTTTTACGCTACTTAAAAGAAACATTTATTTGTTTAATATATTTCTTAAAATTTTCATGATGTGTAATGATTTCTTACTTCTCTTCCAGATGATTCTAATGACAACGATATAGACTGATATTTATATAGCGTATCCACATCTGAATATTTCTAGCGTCACGGCGTAATACGTAATACACACATGCACATTATTTGTATTTACATATGAAAGGGCACTGGAAATAGAAATAGAAAACGAAAACCAGACTTGTTCAACTGGCATTTGAAATATTTTGATTGAACAAGTCGGCTGATTCGAACAGACATCTAACTATAAAAACAGACGTATGCTAAACAACATTCAAATACCGGTTTGCAACACCTGACTAGACAGACAGCCAATGAACCGGGCCTAATGCATTCAGACTCAGACTGAGACTCAGACGCGGAATATGCAAAACATGCCGCGTCTCTCATTTTAACCCCCCGCTCGCCTTATGT